AATGTTTTGAGAGTTTAGTAAAGATGTCATCGCAAGTAGTTGCTGTAAGATAGATTTTGTTTAATTTTTATGACCTGTTAACATGTACATGGTTTCGTAATTTTGACTTTTTAGAAGATAAACTGGCACCAGTTAATCAAGACCTTGACTAGGAGTACATACTGTATATCTATACTTAAAGGTAGAAAATACAGCTTTAGTACACGTAATAGATGATAAAATAACAAGAAATACACTATTTCACATGGTATTCAATATGGCTAGCTTTAGTTAAACTGCATCACTGACCATTGACGTGTGCAGTGAGGTGGCTGGAGGAGCTCATGCCCCTACCTTCCTGCTCTTAGACCCCCAAAATGCCTTTTTCCCTCTGTCCTATAAATTTTCAACAACTACAAAAGATACACCTGGTTCCACACTTTGCTTGCTACGTGTTATTATGTAAGGGGGGGGGGGATAATAAGCTTTAAAATAAATGGAACAGCGGATCTTGTAGGACTTTACAGTAAAAAAAAATGTTGTTTGTTAATATGGAATATTTCATTGTTTATTTTAAGATTATAAAAATGTTTAATACCAATTGAATAGGAATGAAAGAGGATCTGTTTGCTTCTTATGAATTTTTACTGTATGTGTACAGGAAACCCACAGTCTGTATAGTTTCTTTTAACAACTCCCCCCAAAAAAAACAAAAATATTTTCTTTATGATGCTTCAAAAGCTACCTTTTTTTGGTAAAGATCCCCCTGCCCCTTTAACGCCCCCTGCACTTTATGGCCATCGACTGTCTCCATTTTCGTAATTTTTTGTATGCCCCTATGATGAGTCTGTAATAATTTGCTCTGACAAATGTTAAATATCGTGACAAAACCTGTATTTTAAATACAATGTTATGTGTCGTCGGGTAAAGAATATCCAAACCAGGCGACACGTGCACAGCGTGAACGCATACAAGGTACGTCGTGCATACACTATACGTTCTTTCACCTTAGACTGAGGTAGCCGACCTCCGCCAACACTGGGAGCACGTGTCGAACACCACTATTGTTTAACACAAACCGTGAACGTTACACTTCCTGAACCTGTTGAAAATTACCTTTTCAAACATAATCGGTTAGTTCTTTGGAATACAACTGAGACTATCAAATTCCGTTTCTTACCCCGTACTAACCTTCTGGTAGACAAACAAATTATTTATTTAATTAAAGTCAAGATATTAGCATTATTGCCCAATGAAGACTCCGGTAAGATGGCCGAAAGCTCGCAATAAAAGTATTTTAACGTAGAGAAAAGTCCGTTTATAATTTACGAAGTAACGAATACATTGTTGGGTAAATTCGTTAACAATATTGTTCAAGTATATAGTAATTGTTTTGTTGAAACCTATTTTAAGATTGAACAAGCAGCTCTTATAATTAGTAGTGAGCGGTAAGTAGGGATTAATTTTGTCTTTTTAGGGCTAATCTTCATACGAAATAAAGAGGAAAGTGTGTCCTAATTTATACATCAGCATACATGCTTATACTGAAGAAACGTTGTTATGCTGTTTAAAAACTAATTTGTAAGTAAATTCATTGTAAATCACTAAATGGTAGTTTTTTTAAACGTTTTCGTAAATTGTAAAATATTATTAATGGGTAAAATAAAACTTTATAGCTGCTTTAGAATAATCAATATTACTGGTAGTAAACTTTTTAAAGTTTGGTCTCTTTAAGAGTATAATCTAAGCCTTAAAATTGATTAGTTTTTACTGTGGACCGTAAATAAACTGTTGCGTCAGCGAGTCACATGACTAATGTGGCGCCCTCTAGTTTCTAGAATTATCTTGTTCTTTCATGAATGCTCTAGTATTTACTAGATAGGGTAGTCTGGTATATATAAGAGGGGGAAAACGTGACGCGGGAAGGTAATGTAATGTGTGTATAGACAGTGAGTAATTGAACTGCAGTCAGAGAGCACGAGAGACGTTACAGCGTTTGTTTAGCGCGATTGTTGAAGTTGAGTGTATCGGTAAAGTTGTATTCGGAAAGAATAAACCAGTTTTATTAAGTAAAGAACTTGTGTCGCTGAAGTTTCGTCGGAACGAAGTTACGGAAAGTTAATTAACAAACGGAGACGTAACAAAACAATAGAAACAAAGATTAAGCCTGAAAGAAGCTTCGAGTATTATATTATCACTCAGCGTGATAGGCCTAGTTCCAGTTAACTTTATTACGATAATTATCACAAGATACATAATTATCATCCATACGTTGGATTAAAGCTGTAGATGATAACAAAAGTGATCGTATTTTTTATTTCTTCTAAGCGCAACGGAGTCCGTGCCATTAAAATTGAAACTGGGTATTTTACAAATATATTAGTTGTTGTAACATTAGATTTACAGTTATATACATAATTTACATGAAACTTGTTTACCCATGTACTAACATTCGGGAATACGGATACATCATGACGAGATACATGTGCGCAAAACGAACGTTTGGGGCGTGTTACAGTTAGACAGCTGAAAAAGTATTGATAAATTAACGTATTATAATACGGACAATGAGAGTCGTTGATAAAGTTGATTAACACTTCATCAGGCTATTGCCAGTGGCTTTAAAAATAGAAGTTTTAAAATATATTTTGAAGTAAATTAATACTGTAAATTTAATGACAAGAACGTAATTAATGTGTTAGAAATTTGTCAAGTCTCCAATGTTGTCCTTGATATAAGTGTAATGAGCTGAATAACGCATGCGTTGGAACTAGTCTAGAATTGTTCCACGAACTACACGTGCGTCAACTGTCATAGAATCTGATTGAATAGTGGATAGTGAACGTGGAAATATGGGATTTACTATGGAGGCTAGACGTTACACGTGGTTGAACGTTTAGGTGGCCAGAGCCTAATAACTTTCCAAGTTAAAAATACGAAGATACGGTTTTTAATTTATGTGAAATAATAATTAATTCTAATTGCGTACAGTTGTTCATTGTAAACATAATTTACCGAATGCGTGATGAGCATCTCATTTTATTAAAATATATTTATTTAATATAGAAACATGTATACACACAAAAAGAAAAACCCAACGTAATGGAGTCGTAGTTCACTTTAGTGGTTGGCAAGGGTAGCAAATCTAGAATGGGAACCCGCTGTGAAAAATACCTGGACCTTGTATGGGTAAAAGAAGCACAAAGACTTTGAATTACCTTCATCACAAATAATAGTAATTTAAATGCATAATACATCGTTAAATGTTCTATATAGGACCCGAAATTTCTCTCTTCACATTTGTAAACTTGTGTAGCCTCCTTTAGACTTGAAAACGGTGAAATAAAATTATTTATGCTAATCTAGTCGCAAAACAGTTTCGGTAGTTTTCATACCCTTCACCTAAATTTTACTAACTCTGTCATTTTCACGCATGCTATTAAAGCTACGTTTTCTTGCTGACATTATGTTTGGATCAATGAATCCTAGACTATTTGAAAAATAAAATACAATACGCTCACTTGTCATAACTTTATTTAATAAAAACCACACGTAAAGTAATGGTTGAAACACTTATGAGCATTCAGTGTATGAAACAGTTTTATGAATTGAAACAAAAAAAAGCTCGCAAAAACAAAGAATAAAACCCTTACTAAAGAAACGCATAGCTAAAAGGTGTTTATAGTAGTCTATGAAACGAACCGAAGCAATGTAAAGATATATTGAGGGCAAACTTGTCTTAATGATTCTGAATAGAAAAACCAGTAAACAATTTGGACTCTTCAGATAAAGGTCTTTCTAATGATATGATTTGAAGAGTTTGAGAAATTTGCGAGAAAAGTTCCGGACAGATAAACGCAAGCGAACTACGCGTGTTTGTCTATATATATATATGCACTCCATGTTGCAGGATTCTTTATGCCACAACTGACTAGTTTCTTTAAATTCTCAAAATAATAATTAATATCTGGGTAGTAAAGAGACCCGAGCCAGGTTGAGTAATTGAAAATCTGACTGTTACCCGGGTTTTCAAGTTCTATTGCTGATATATAGTGTAAGCTGTGTGCTTAGGCCTAAGTTTTACTTTCTATAAGATTAGTAGATCAATAATATCATCTGTTGTTTATATTGTCTTAACATTTTTTGTATAGGTAACAACAGCTGTTAATTCAAAAATATATCTGGTATAATAGAAGGGATTAGAAGTGTTGCGTCAGCGAGATCACGTGACTATTGTCGCGCCACCTGCTTTCTAGAACTATCCCGTTCCTTCGGGAGTGCTCTAGCATTTACTAGATATATGTTTGTCTGGTATATATATATATAAGACGCTCACAACGTGACGGGACAACAATGTGTGTTGGTAGTGAGTAATTGATCTGCAGTCAGGGATGATTGTTATAGCGTTTGTTTTAGCGCGAATGTTGAAATAAGTGTATCGGTAAAGTTATATTCGGAAAGAATAAACCAGTTTTATTAAGAAAGTACTTGTGTCGCTAAAGTTTCGTGGGAACGAAGTTACGGAAAATCAACTAACTAACGGAGACGTAACAGAAGTTTTGTTTTTCAGTGGTTCATGAATATTCACAAGGACTAATAGCTGTGTTAGCCATTTCTTACTTACTTAAGCTCATTAACTCTTTCAGAAGATGGACCATCGATGACACCTTGCCAACATGTCTGACACTGGGCTATCTTCTCTAGTTCTATCCAGGTGTAACTTGTGTTTGCCTCAAGGTCATGCCTCCTGGTGGTTTTGATCTTCCTCTTTTTCACCTGTAGATTCCAGATCAAGGAATGTCTGGTGATGTTGTTAGGTGTGAATCTGTAAGGTATGGCCAGTCCAGCCCCATTTTATTTTCAGGATTTCTTTCTTTACAGGTTTTTCATTTTAATTTCTCCTAAATCAATGTGACTTAATCTTTCTGAGCAGTAAATGTGAAGAAACTTGTATAGGCATCTATTAGTGAAGGTTTGTATGTTCTTTATTGTTGTTTGTCCTTCATGTTTCTGAGTCACTCAGGATCACTGATTTGACATTTGAATTGAATATGTAGATCTTGGTATGTGTCGTAATTTCTCTTGAATTCCATACATTCTTCAATGTAAGAAAAGCTGTTCTAGCTTTACTAATTTTTGCTGTCACATCTTCGTCAATGCCACCCTGCTTGTTGATCATGCTACACAGGTAGATGAAGTCTATTTCTTCGAGAGATTCCATTGTCACTACTGGTATTTATTTGAGGAATCTTTATTTTGCCCATATGGGTAATTAGTCCAGTTTATGCTTATACAGTTTCGAGACATGATGTATTTTTCTACATTTGATTGTAGTTGTGTGATAGGAGAGCCAGGCCATTGGCAAAATTCAGGCCTTCTAGTTGTGTCTATGTTGTCCACTGGATGCCATTTCTTTTGCCTTTAGTGGTTCTTTTCATTGTCAAATTGATCACTAGCAGAAAGAAGAAGAGAGATAGCAGGCATTCTTGCCTAACTCCTGTCTTCACTTCTAAGCTATTGTTGAGTTGTCGTTCATGTATCACTCTGTAAGATAGCAGGCATTCTTGCCTAACCCCTGTCTTCACTTCTAAGCTATTGTTGAATTGTCGTTCATGTACCACTCTATAAGATAGCAGGCATTCTTGCCTAACTCCTGTCTTCACTTCTAAGCTGTTGTTGAGTTGTCGTTCATGTACCACTCTGTAAGATAGCAGGCATTCTTGCCTAACTCCTGTCTTCACTTCTAAGCTATTGTTGAGTTCCATTATATACATTCCATTATACAAGTCTTGGATTAGGTTAATAAATTTCTTTTGTACACCATAATGTTTCAGCAGTTTTTAGATGGTTTCTCAGTCCATATTACTGAGAATTTGACATATAGGGATGAGTTCCACTTTAGGGATTGCTCCATTATGATGTGGTCTGTGCAGGACCTATCTTGATGAAAGTCTGCTCGTTGATATCCGCGTTTGGCAACAACTGCATTTTTCAGTCTCTCCAAGAAAACTGTATTTGGAACTTTTCCTGTTACTGGCAGAACCATTATTCTTGTGTAGTTCTTACAGTCCAGTAGGTGTTTTTTCTTGGGTAACTTGATAGCATTCCACTGATACTTCTTCCTCCCAAATATTCCAAAACAAGGAGTACGGTGTCTCTATGGACATGTCTGCCTATGCCTTTAGTGCATCTGTGGAAATTCCATCAGGGACCACTGCTTTTCAACTCTTAAAAACAGAAATGGCTTTCTTGATCTCTGACTTGCTTAGTTTTTGTAGTCAACCTAAAGAACTGAGTTCACAGGTGGACTATCTGGTGAGTTCAGTGGCACTAGTCTGTTCAATAACTGTTAAAATGCTCTGTCCAGTTAGCACTATTTTACTCTTGTCTTAAATTGGTTTATCTATGTGCTGATATTTTCTTGCCAACTTCCTTATTGTGTTATATATGTTTGTTTTATTTCTTTTTCCTTCTGCCTCCTTAGCTTCTCTGGCAAGGTTTTCAACATAGCTCCTCCTGTTGGTTCTCAGGCTGGTTATCAATTTTAACTGTACATCATTTCAGTATCTACGTCTGTATGAGTGAATGGAAGTGTTATAATAACAGCAGTTCACAGGCTGGTATTCTGTTTTAACTGTACATCATTTCTGTATTTAAGTCTGTATGAGTTAATGGAAGTGTTATAATAACACCAGTTAGCCAGGCTGGTTGTCAGTTTTAACTGTACATCATTTCTGTATCTATGTCTGTGTGAGTTAATGGAAGTGTTATAATAACACCAGTTCACCAGTTGTAATGAATTGTAAGAAAGTAGAAGTTGTCAACAAAAACAATATTTTATCTAAAATTTTCTGATGCAGGTAATTTTAAATTAACTGATACGTATAATGTATAAAATAACATTATTAAGTACCTGCTGTATCTATAATGTTTCTACTTGTTCTTGTATTCAACAGTGCAAAAAGCGAGAAACCTCGTAAGGAAAGGAAAAGGTGAGTTTTATTTCACGTATATTCGGTAGTGACATTATTCGTAGTAAGATAAAAAAATATTTTTAATTTTTCAAATGATTCATAATTAAAGAGAACTATAAACATTTAATGTTACTCTAGTTACCTGTAATATAAACTCTCTTACTCTAACAAACAATTCTGAAGCTATAAAGTAACATGAGTTTCAGTTGATACACAAACTTTTTGATTTTATATATATATAAATACTTTGATTCAAGTGTTTAAACATTGTATAGTAAGGTATATTAAAGAAAACAGAAACACTACTTAGAAAAGTTTCTAGAAACGGAGATTACAGCAGTGAGTATTTAAGCCTTGTTTTTGTTTTGAAATAAAAGAATTTTAGCTCAAAGCAGGAGTGGCAGGACAAAAGTTACAAAGATATAAGCATTTAATTCTTAAATGTTTTGGAGTTCACAAGCTCTACCATTATAGATCTGTAACAGTGGAGTTCACAAGCTCTACCATTATAGATTTGTAACAGTGGAGTTCATAAGCTCTACCAGTATGGATGTGTAACAGTACGTACATGTTGTACTTAAAATAACAGAAAAAAAGTGATTTAAAAAGTGGATATACATAAGTAATTCTGTTAATAGACTTCTCATGTTTTGGGTTTTTCTTTCCTTTCTTCAAGTCGTCTGAAGAAGAGCTCAGTATAACATCGAAAATGTTATTTCATTAAGAAGGAAAAACACTAGATAGCAAAAGTCCATATAAAGAATTCCTTCAAGATGAATTAACTGCCAATACCAATCCTAAAAGAAGTATAAATTAAACATGTTGAATACATATTTGATGACGAGGGAACTTACTTTGAGACTAATAATGGCTGGAGACGGC